CCCATCCCTATCAACCCGGTATACAGAAGGGATAGGATTGATCCTTGATGTGAAGACTCCTTCCCTCTCAGTTGATACTTTGAGCTACTACATCCATATGTGTAGGTCAAGTTCATCGAATTGTAATAAATACACTTGTTTCCTTTATCAAAAATTTTTAAATTTTCCTTCAGTCAAGTTCTGATCATCAAGCCATTGAAGCTACATCAAATGGGTACTATGTGCAAGTTTGAGCATTCTTGTGTATCTCCCCTCACTTCATATCAGCTGGATCCTTCACTCTCAGCTCTAGCCCTCCTAGGTCCTTGTCCTTGGGCTCACGAGTCCCCAGGTGTCACCACACTTTGGACCAACCAGCCCTTCATCTTCTCTCTCTTATTTCCAGGTTAACAGGAGTCTATGGAATGTTTGTACCTCACATGTTTAATCTAATAGGCTTTATGGAGATTGAGTCCATGAATGTATATGGGTTCAGACATTGCCAAAATGGACATTATGCAGTGCATGACTATATATGACAACTGGAATGGGCAAAAATATAAAGACAATGGAAAGATCATTGGTTTCCAGAGGGAAGAGGAAAGAGAATTCATGGTTAGATGGGTCACGGGACATTTTCAGAGCAGTGAAGCTATTCTGTGTGATACTGTAATTAAAGGTTTATGACATTATGCATTTGTGTTTCATCTTGATATAACTATGTACATAGTACATACTATCAATTTTGTTTCCCGACTTGTAACACACGTACCATAGACAGTGGCGAACTCTACAAGTTTTCCAAAAATCAAAATCGTCTCTAAAAAATAAAGTCTTAAAAAAGGAAAGCCTTAGAAAGAAATCATCACAGATTCTCCTTAACTGAATGTCCAAATACTGTGTAGTTGAAAGCTGCTGGCTTTAATAAGCAGATAGTTCAGCTTTTTTGGTTTCAGAATGTGTTGTGATCCAAGAAACCAATGTTGTAGCAAGCTCTTTCAAGGGTCAATAGATGTTCATCTTGGGCTCTGTTGTTCCTTGGACACGCCTGCTGCATCTGCAGCCTGCATGAGTCACTTGGTGATTCATCTGACCCTCACTGAGTGGAGAAGGCCCAGCGGTGTGACTCACCATTCATTCGTTGTGTGGGAGTTGGCAGTGAAATGGTGGAAGATGGAGGTACAAGTGGCTTACAGACTAGACACATAGAGGATATATTTTAAATGATATTTTTAAACCATAAAACATGGCCATATGTCCACAGGAATCAGAGTCCCCAAGATCAGTGAGTAGGAATGATAACAAGGGAACATGGAAGAATAGGATTTAAGAGAAGTGTGGCGTATGTAGAAGACCAGTCCCTATCTTGTGAGCAATGACTCCCCGGAACTGCTCTTAGAGAATAATGAAGTGGTGTAGCAAATAGGTTGCAAATCTCAATAGCTGTGTAAGCAACTGTCGTGTAGCAATAATAAAAGGTCCTACTTGCCAGTAAAGGCAGGATTAATAAAGTAATGCATGTGACGTTCCTAGATCATAGAGTTTGTCAGTGTTGCTTGTCATTGTTAGAGTCTAAGGTACCTCCATTTACACTTACCAAGACTCACATTGGCTGCTCTGCCTGCAAAATCAAATCTGACCCCCTTGACTTACATTCAAGGCCTTTTCCCAGTTGCCCTAAACCTATTTAAACATATATTTTTCTCCTCCCAATACAAGTCTTTTGCTTTATCTAAGAATATTCCTACTTTGCCCCTAGATATTTCTTAGTGTCAATCATATAAGTAAGTCCTTTCCCATTTTTTTGTCAGTTTGGATTCTGTCATTTTTTCAGGTCCCTACTGCATCTTCACAGTGTCTGTGAAGTGTCCTTTGTTGACTCTTGCTTCATTGTCTTCGTCATCCCTTTATCACTCGCTGCCTGTGTGTTCCTTATTGTTTTAGGTAGCCCCAAGTTGTAATGCATGCTCATCAAGAGTCAAGTCTAGATTTTGCAGTTCTATGCACTTCTCCCATAATGCTTTGTACATGTCAAATGGGTAGAGTTGACTTCTTCACCATGCAGAGCTGAGTAAGGGTGCCAATTCATTCTACTACTTTTCTTGCTGTCTGATCATCAACAAATCAGTTATTCTTTCTAAGCCTCAATTTACTCTGCCTTGCAGAATTTATGAGGAGTAAAGATGTATGTATGTGAAGCACTTACCTGCTTTATGGAAGGTCTTAATAAATGGATTCTTATTATTCTTTTTACCATTGATGAAATGCAGTATAATTAATGTTCCATAAGATCCCAGTGCTAAATAATTTTGCTTCTTTACAGCTCTACAGCTCTGCTGAATTTGGGAGAAGGTGGCAGCTTATCCAGGAAGGGGTCGTGCCAAACAGGTTTTACTGGTAAGTCTTCCTGCATTTTGTAGCCCGTTAACATGCCACCTCTTAGATGGACATCGGGATTTTCTTCCCACCTAGAGCTGCTGTGTGTCTCTTCTTACTGGATGTGCCTAAATCTGCCCACCTAGGAGTCCTGGTGTGGTGCTGTGGGCTTATGTGTCAGACTGCAAAGCCGTTGAAACTGCAAGGTAGGTGGTTCAAGCTCACCAGCTGCTCCTTGGAAACCCTATACAGGGTCTCTATGGGATGGAATTGACTCAACAGCACTTAACAACAACAACATATGCCTGGTGTGGCACTGCAGGTTAATGCACTGGACTGCAATATCTGTTTGAACCACAAGATCAGTGGTTCAAGCTCACAAGGCGCTCCTCAGAAACTCTGTACAGGGTCACTATGAGCTGGAACTGACTTGATGACACTTAACAACAACAACACCATATGCCAATGAGGACAAACGTGATGTTGGCATAGTAGTCATTTTAAGGAAATGTTCAACTTGTGTCACAAATTTCTTAGGAAACTCACGAGCAATCATTGAAATCAGTGAACATCAGGAGCTTTGTAAGTGTGTTGCTTTAGTAAATTTCTAGGGACCTGCAGTACAGAAATTTAAAATATATATAATAGTGATGTTTATTATTGAAACATAATTATGTACACATGCATCACCAATTTCAAAAAGAAAAGGTTTTCAGAACCAATGATTAGGTATTATTTGCTCTAATTAATAATTGGGTGTTGCTGGAACCCTGGTGTGGTACTGTAAGACATGCTCTGGGTCTCAAAGTCAGTTTGAACTGTAAGGTTTGTGGTTCAAACTCACCAGCTACTCCTCAGAAACCCTATACAGGGTCACTATAAGTTGGAACCTACTCGACGGCACTTCACAGCAACGACATCATTTACTCTAAAGATGGGTCTCTCTCCCACTCCTGATTCCATCTTCCAGACCCTCTTCTCATCACATGGGGATGCACCCAGCAGTTCGGGTTTCTTAATTATCCTTCCAGAAATATTCTGTGAATTACCAAACACATATATGCATGTTTTCATTGAATAATTGGTAGTTCATGCTCACTCTTTGCTCTAGGTTGTATTCTGTGCCTCGTTTTTTTAGGGGTTACAGTTAACAGTGCATCTGTCATCATTTTCACATGCTTGCACAAAATTTCGCTCTTAAGGATGTAGATTGGAGGTGAATATTTGGCATATTTCCCATACAGAAATCAGCTGTATATGTTGCTGACTTTTTTGTTTTGAGAAAGACCAATATGAAGAGAAAGGGCAAAAGGAAAGAAAAAGGAGACAATGAAAGTAATATTCTGTTGTTTTTAAGCACCTTAACCCATTACCTTGATTAAACTAGAAGGGAGTTTCTTCCTTTTTAATGGGTAGCCACAACTGAAGCAAAGAGAAATGTTGTCAGGTGCCATCGAGTTGGAACCAACTCATAGCGACCCCATGAACAGCAAAAAGAAACAATGTCCGATCTGGGGTCAACCTCACTACCGCTGCCAAATAATACGAGTTAATTTTGCCTTTTGAGTTTCTAAGTTGCCTAGCTCCTGGTAACATAGGGGTAAATATAGAACTGCCAGGTATAGTTTTGACATTACTTGCCAATATATTTTGATTTTATAATCTGACTTTTGCAAAAAAAAAGTGTAAATCTGTCTTACTCTAGTTCATCTAGTTAGATGCCTATGGAAAAGACATTTAGGATGTGTCCAGAGCTTTCCTACTCCAAACAGTGCTGCAGTGTATTTACTCAGACAAAAGTTTAAGTAGCCTTTGTTCGCATCATTCAGAATAATGGCGGCAGTGAACTTTCAGAAGCCAGTGAGTTTTCTCAAGTGTGCCAGTAAAAGATGTCTTCTGTTTGCTCCTTACATCACACAGCCTCTGGACTTAGAGGCAAAACCTATCACCAACATACCTAATGCACCCTCCACGCACTGCTTTCAATTTTATATGAACTTCTTTGAGGAATGTATTTTTATCTTTCTCATTCTCAAACACTGCCCTAAAATCCCTATGGGAGTTGGAAGCCTGTGAACCGCATTAAATAAATCTCTTAAAAAGCTAGTGAAACTGCCAGGAAAATTGAAAGACAAGTCATTTGCAGACAAACTGGTTCAAAGATAACACAGAGAAACATCTGTACAGAATGATACCTTTTTAAAAATATTGTTTTATGTTTTTCATCATGAAGACACATTTTGAATTAGCAAGGATTTTCGGTGCAAAGACGCTAGTAACCTCCCTCCCGCTGCTTCCTTTCTCTGGGATGGTTCGAGTCTTCCTTGGGGAATCAAAGTCGGCCTCTCCGATTTCCAGGAGTCAGCCTCTGACTCTTACTGAATCTTCCTTCTCTGTTTTACATTTCTTCTCTTCCACTTTTCCTTGATTTGTCTCTTGTTCAAGAGACAACTTACATCTCTGAGTGTGTTTATAAATTATAAAGTAAGCTTTTGGAAGAACATGAGCAATTAAATTTTCAGTCACCACATATGCATGTGAAAGTTGGACAATGAATAAGGAAGCCCATTGAAGAATTGATTCATTTGAGTTCAGGTGTTTGAGGAGAATATTAAAAGTGACATGGGTTGCCAGAAGAACAAACAAATCTGTGTTGGAAGAAGTACAGCCAAAATGCTCCTTAGAAGTCAGGATAATGAGACTTTATCTCTCATACTTCTGGCATATTTTCAGGAAGGACTAGTTCCTGGAGGACATAATGCTGGGTGAAGTGGAAAGTCAGTGAAAAGGGAGAAGACTCCCAACAAGATGGACTGGTACCATGGCAGTACCATGGCGGCAACCATAGACTCAAATTCACAACAATAGTGAAGCTAGTGCAGGATCAAGCAGTGTTTAATTTTGTTGTGTGTAGGGTTGCTATGAGTCAGAAATGACTTCATGACACCTAACAACAAGATTTTGGAAGGCAGGTCTGTGTCTGTTTGTTTTAATATTATTATTATTATTATTAATGTTCTTGTCTTCTTTGGTGCTTTATGCACATAGAAGCTGGGGGTCCTGTCATTGACTCCTAACCAAATGGTTGGTGGTTCTAGCCTACTAAGCAGCTCTACAGAAGAAAAGTCTTGGCGATCGGTTTCCATGGAAATTGTAGCCGAGAAAACTCCTTGGACCAATTCTGCTTTGTAACACATGGAGATGCCATGAGTCCAGGGCCAGTTCATTGACAACCAGTAACAATTGCATTTGCACATAGAAACACCTCGAGAAATAAAAAATGAAGAAAAAACTGAATAAGTGAATGTGTTTCTATTGACTGATCCTGGAAATAGAATTAATGCTTTGTCAGTGAGACAGGCACAAATCTTACTTCTTCATTTGCTTCATGTGGTTGGATATCTGTATGTGGTACCAGCAATAGAGGGTGGAAAATAGCAACTTATATTTGATATTATGACCATCAGAAACAAAAACATTGAATAAAGGATGGACTAGGGAGGCGAGGCAGACTACTTCCAAATGTTTAGCCAATGAAAACCTTATGAATAGCAGTAGAATAATGTCAATATTGAATATTAAAACATTTAGAATAGCACTAGAATATTGTCAAATATAGTGCCAGAAGATGATGAACCACTCAGGTTAGAAGACACTCAAAGCAGAGTTTGGCTGTGATGATGTGAATGGAGTAAAGTTATCAGAACCTACATTTGCTAATGGGGCGCGATTCAAAAAGAAGAAAAATGGCTGAAAACATCCATTGATAATCTGAATATGAAATGTATGAAGTATGAATGTAGGAAAATTGGAAGTTGTCAGAAATGAAGTGAAATGTATAAATATCAAAGCCCTGGGCATTAATGAGCTAAAATGAACTGGTATTTTGAATCTGACAATCATATGGTTTACTTTGCTGGAAATTACAAATAGAATAGGAATGGTGTCACATTCATCATCAAAAAGATCTATCTTGAAATATAATGGTATCTGTGATAGGATAATATCCATAGGAATACAAGGAAGACCAGTTAATAACACTATTATTCAAACCTATGCATCAATCACTAAAGCCAGTGATGATGAAATTGAAGAATTCTACCAACTTCTTCAGTCTGAAGTTGATCAAACATGCAATCAAGAGGTATTGATAATTACTAGATTAAAATGCAAAGGTTAGAAACAAAGAGGACAGATCAGTGGTTGGAAAATACGGCCTCAGAAATGGAAATGATGTTGGAGGTCACATGATGGAATTTTGCAAGACCAATGACTTATTGATTACAAGCACCTGTTTTTAAACAACATAAAAGAAAACTATACACATAGACCTCACCACATGGAATACACTGACTACATCTGTGGCAAGAGACAGTGGAAATACTCCATATCATTAGCCAAAACAAGGCCAGTGACAGACTGTGGAAAAGACCATCAATTGCTCCTATGCAAGTTCAGGCTGAAGCTGAAGAAAATGAAAACAAGTTCACTAGAGTCAAATATCACCTTGAACATATCCCACCTGAAATTTAGAGATCATCTCAAGAACAGATTTGATACATTAGACACTAAAGACCGAAAGCCAGAAGAGTTGTGGGGTGACATCAAGAACATCATATGGAAAGAAACAAAAGATCTTTCAAGAAATTTGAAAGGTGGCTACCTGGCCAACTGATGGAAGGAGATCCATATTTGTGTCCATTCCAAAGAGATTTGACCCAATGGAATGCAGAAATTATTAGAAAATATCATTATGATAACATGCAACTAATATTTTACTAGATTTAATTTAAAAATGCTGTGACGGAATATCGACAGGTAATTGCCAGAGGCTCAAAGCAGATTTATATGAGGATGTGGAATGAGGGATATCATTGCTGATGTCAGATAGATCTTAGTAGACAGCACTGAATAACAGAAAGATGTTTTCCTGTATTTTATAGACTATGTGTAGGCTTTCAACTGTGTGGATCATGACAAGCTGTAGACAACATTGCGGGGAATTAATATTCCAGAACTCT